AAAAATAATGTTTGTGTATTCTATAAACATTTCTGTATCTGTATAATGGGTCTGTTTTATGTCTTGTCTTCTCAATTCAGAGGGCCCCCTGCCTGTCTTTGCCTAGGGCCCCGAATTTCCTTAATCCGCCCCTGTCAGTGACGTTGATTAAACGTCTGGCTCTAAGTGCACCAGTAGAAAAAACGTACCCAGTCTGCATTTTTAGCAGCCTTAAACATTTCAACTTCCTCAAAATGTTCCGTATTCAGCTTCATCCGTCTTGTTCCTTGATCCCACAGCATGATGCTGCCGCCACCACCAGAGGTGCGTGCAGGGGGGACTTGCAGAGTTAGTTTCTGTCAAATATTTCCTACTTTAAACGTCTGCACTGCTTCAAACCTGAGCTGTCCAAAGTGTTTTTCGGTCTTCACGGTCCTGTTTGCTAAATTATTACTTCTTTTTTTACCAAGCCACTAATATTTTCTCATAAAAGCTGTATTTGAGATGAGCTTAAATTAAAACTGATTTAACAAAATGAATGAATGATTTTTATTCTACTGTTCTGTTTTATTATCCCATAAAATCACAACAAAATTAAGGCTGAAACAATTAATCAGATCAATCGTTAGTCAATTCTTGAAATAAACATCAACTAATTAGGTAATCGAATTAAACCCTTACCTGTAGTAAAGTAACACAGACTAAAACACGCTATTTGTTGAAAGAATAACCTGCCTGGAGCCAAATTTAATCAAAAAACTTTGCAAAAAATATAAAACATTTTCCATTTAAAATGAGAAATCTTCCTTTAATCTATGTATGATATAATTACATTTATAAGAACATGTACATGAAATTAATTAAAATGTGTAATAAATATTAATTTTTATTTCCAAACATTTATTTATTTTGAAATAATAATTTAATAAAGATATCTCCTTTTAGTTTAATCGATTAGTAAAGTAAGCATTAGCTGCAGCTCTAAATAAAATAGGGTTTGTGCTTGTAAATGCTAAATGCATGATAACCAAGATATATTATAACTTTTGCAAGGCCGTCTGTTAACCTAAACATGCATCCTTGTATGTATTCAGTAAGAAATAATCAAATGTACGTCTGAGATTCCTTTAAAATTTCCACCTAACTTTCCTGTTCCAGTTCCTGATCTTCTAATCCAATCTGCTCGCTGTCTCCAAACCATGTCACAGTTTGCAGATCAAGCTGTTCTGCAGTTTTAATTATAAAGTGAGCTAATGGTGCAAACATGCAACGCAGACGAAAACCTGGAGTCAAACGTTTGAGTGATTGCAGCGTGTTCCTTTAACGCGGAGTAAATCAGCGGCACATTTTGTTCGTAAACCTCACACGTCATCTGCAGGCGGCCTGTGTTCCTACGCCAGAGGCAGCTAAATGAGTAAATAGGCCAGAAGAGACCAAACACAGAGCAAAACGAGATCCCTCCCCTGTCCTCTTTACTGTAATCATTTCCACATTTGCCCCCCCCTCCTCCCTTCTCCTCGCCTCATTGATGATTTCTACGCCATGGTGAATCAAGAGCGCGGAGAAAAACAACAACCCCTAATTTCAGCCTCATCTGCATTAAGCTAAAAGCCAACGCCGCTTCCTCCCTGACACACATCTGCATGGCTTTGTGTTTGAGTTTAGAGAAAACAAAAGCAGAGGGGATGGCTGGAAGCATGGTGGATAAGGTCACCTCCATCAACACCCCCTCCGCTCCACCAGCCAATTACATCTCATTAGACAGACACGCGGGCTCCAACAGGGATGCTCACTCCTTTCACATCAGCCCAGATTATGTTTTATTCAGCAGCCGATCCTCTAAAAGCCTCGGTGACTTCAGTCTAACTGCTTAACACCTTTCAGCATCTATGTATAACAGTTGTCACTGCGTTCGACCACATTCACCCTCCTATAAATCAGACAATATCTCAACCAGAAACCAGTTTAAGATAAAAAACTGGTATAATCATTGTGTTTCTTATGGAAATGATCAAATTACAACCATGGAATTTGATGCCTTTTGCTGTATGTTTCATATGTAACGCAGTGGATGAATGGGAAGGATGATTTTCAAGATACTTTTTACAAATAAAATCAAATGTGGAGTATATTTGTAGTGGACCTCCTATTTTGATAATCCACCCGCAAAATGAACGTCCTCCACTATAAAGTTCTACTTATGATTCGGTTAAAACTGGTCATTTCCATTTAAAATAAATGAATAATATATAATATTAATTAATTATGAATGTTTATAGACATAATATTCCAAATAATAGCTTTATTTAATCTTTTAGTAGCAACTAATTATTTCAGTTATGTTTTCCCATTGTAAAGGACTTTTAATTTTAGGCAAAGTAAACAATTTTAAGCCAAAAATTTAAAAAATTTAGATGGAACAACCAAATAACATGGAAATTTCACTTCATTCAGAGGAGAGCCGCTAGCCTGACGTAGTCCGACTCAATTCTAGTCAGAATATGAGTCTGATACTGCTCCATAGAGCTGTGATTATGGGGCGTGTTTCGAACGAACCAGGAAAAAAAATGCCTCTGCGCTCAATTGGATAGACCTACAACCAATAAGAGCAACGGAGTGCGTGACGTATGTTAAGCCACGCATAGTTGTTGTCCACAAAAATCAAAGCGTGCAGTTGCGCGCCTATAATAAGAATATGAGACTTGATCGCGTTTCTCTGTTCCTCTTTTAAAATTTATTTGCTGTCGATATCTTCTAGAACAGACCTAATAGCAGAATCTACTCACCTCAACTCTCCAGCGGCATTGTTGTTGTCACCCAAGCGCGCATTGGTCACGTGGTTGATTACGTTACTGTTTGTCATCTGTCCATCATCGTATAAAGCCCGCCCTGACAATTTGATTGGATCGCCTGACAGTGGGCTTTAATACTCGCGCTACTATGGAGCAGAGCCAGACCGAACTTCCCCGACCTCAAACTTTGTGGGCGGGACTAAGTTCTGACTGGCACCCAGGCTAGAGAGCCGCAATAATTTCAATTATAAACTATTGACCTGTTTTTTTGTTTTATGCCTTTCTGTGCCCCAATTAAAACATGCGGCCCACAAAGTAAATTTTATCTAGAACCGCCACTGTGTGTGGATGTTTGGGATAATCCTGGTTATTCTCTTTATACCGTTTCCATTCCTGGATTGAGCAGTGCTTGATGAGATGAGACTGGACGGTGCCGCCTTTTACAGCTGCTTTTTCTATCTCTGCTTCTGTCTCCTTGAACCCCAGTCGGCCTCAGCAGATGGCCGCTCACACTGAGCCTGGTTCTGCTGGAAGTTTCTTCCTGTTCAAAGGGAGTTTTTCCTCTCCACTGTCGCTACAAGTATGCTTTGTGTGAGGGATTGCATTTGAGTCGATGCAATCAACTGGTTTTCCTTAGATAGTAAACTCTGAATCAATTTGACTGTATGATCTGGTGAACTGTAAAGTGCCTTGAGATGACATGTGTTGTGAATTGGTAGCCTCGTGAGACCATCCTGATCTCGCGAGCTTTCAAGATTTCACTCGCTAATCAGTCTGGAGACTCTCCATTAAAGAAAATTTGAAGCCGTTCACCAAACGAACGTCCAATCAGCGTTGGCTTTGAGGCGGGTTGAGGTGTGACGCAACGAGAAGCGCGACAGTTCAGTCTGAAGAACATGGAGGCTTCAGCCGATGAAACTAGCGTTAGCGTGGCTATCGAGCAAGTTTTATCGGAATTACAGAGTATTTCTTCACTGAAAGAAGAGCAAAACACTGCTCTGGAGGCTTTTCTCAGAGGAAAAGATGTTTTTGCTCTTCTCCCGACTGGTTTCGGCAAGAGTAGCCTGGCTTGTGGTTGTGTCTTCGTCGTCGCTCTGCTAGTACGTCATATGCTTCGTTGATCTGATTGGTTTATTTGGCCCGTCTATCACCAACATAGGCCAATCAGCTAACCAGTATTTTCGCTCCTTCCCAAAATTACTTCTACGGAAGGTTTCCAGATGGATATGCGGAGCAAATCCATCTGGCGGAGTCAGGTTAGTGAATTGGTGCTATATTAATAAACTCAATTCAATGTTTATAGGTTGGTAGAGTTCTTTTATGAAACCTAAGCCTTAGATAAACCTTTACGCCACTTTATTTCTGACTTTTATATTGTTTTCAATTCACAACAATGAGATGAAATCAGTCTTTGGTGGACTGCTGAAGGAACTGGATGCTGTTTATTATTATATATTGTTGTTTCAGTGCAGATTGGAAAAAAAATATTTATATTTGCATAATATATATAGATATATAAATAAAAACATATTCATGAACATCGTGTTGGTTCAGCCTCGTTAAATTACACTAAAACACACAGAAATTAGTGGTTAACTGGTAATAAAACATGGAGGTTTAGTCTCTGTGTAGTGTTTTTTTTTTTTTCCAGCTATTTTCCAAAACACAAACACAGCAGATCCTGTAGGCAGCCTGCTCCAGCAGACCCTGACCCCGAGTCACTGTGGGATTCATCCAAGGAGATTTCCCTTTCCCTCTGCAGCCAATGCGCCACTTTCCCCGGGGGACACCCAGACACCCAGCCCTGTACGGGGGGCCCCTGGAGCGTCTGAACCGGGCCCCTGATGCGTCTGGTCTGTGAGCCGACAGCTGTCTATGAGAAGAGCGTCTGAATTTAAACAATTTAAACACTATAAATCACAGAGAGGAATGATACCGTCCTAAATAATAATAATAATAATAATTGTTATCCCCCCCCCACCCCCCATCGCCTTATATTCCGCACAAAGCCAGCTGTCTCCACCGTCTGCAGTAATAAAATGAGCGGAGCTGTTAGCGCAGACAGCACAGCGTTAGTTTATTGAATAAAATGTTAATGTCATTCCATATCGCAGCCTTCCTACCATTAAAACCGAAGGAGCCTCGGCTTAAAGCCCGCTGGCTTTTATCCCTTAAATGTCATTCTGCCTTTAAATGACAGTTTGACTCCAAACGCCAGCTTTTACTCACCCGTTACACCAGGAGAACATCGGTGCTTTCACCTCCGTTCGCTCCTCTTCGCTCAGCGGATCAATTAAAGCCGAATATTCCCAAAATAAATAGATAAGGGTTCTATTTATCTCCTCATTACGGCTCGGTCACAGCGACTCTGTTCTGAAGCTGCGCACGCAGACGCTCCCCTCCTCCTTCTCCTCATCTCCTCCTCCCCCCCCCCCCCCCCCCCCCTCCTCCTCCTCCCCCTTCTCCTCCTCCTCCCCTCCTCCTTCTCCTCCCCTCCTCCTTCTCCTCATCTCCTCCTCCCCCTACTCCCCCCTCCTTCTCCTCCTCCTCCACAAAGAAGACGGCAATAATGAAGGAAGGGCGGAAAAGACACGAAGGAAGGAGTTTTGTTATTAATCTTCTACAACAACTTAATCAATAACAACTAATTGTAGAACAGTGAGACAATCTCCGGCTTCTAGATTTATAAAGCATTTGATTTTTAAAACAAATAACAATTTTACTCAATTTTTAGACCTTTGGTTTTTTTTTTCATCATTTAAATTTTGAAACTTTTTTAGAGTAGTATACGGAATAAATAAAAAAGTTGACAGATTTTTAAATAATATTTCGTTTTATTATGGGGGGGGGGGAATCAGAATTCTGACTTTAATCTCAGAGTTCTGACTTTTTTCTCAGAATTCTGAGTTTAATATTTTTTCTCAGAATTCTGACTTAAATCTCACCATTTTGTCTTAGATCTCACAATTCTGACTTTTTTTCTCAGAATTCTGACTTTTTTTTCTCAGAATTCTTACTATAATCTCAGAGTTCTGAGTTTAATATTTCTTCTCAGAAGTCTGAATGTAATCTCAGAATTCTGACTTTAATCTCACAATTCTGACTTTTTTTCAGAATTCTGACTTTACAGTTTTTTTGGATTGCTTACACACTAAAGTTAAAAGTAGTACACTATTAGCAAAACCTTACACCCAAGAAGCAAAACATCAGCCCTTATTTGCACAACTATAAGCACATTGTCAACTTCACACTTGTTGCAAAACTCTACACACAGTGATTTGCAAAACACTAAACACACTTAACATACATTACACACAAAAATCTATTATGAAGTCACTTCCTTGCAATACCAGAGCACTGACTGTAAAATTACCACACCTTCCAACCAATTGATTCAACATAGTCATCAGGTGTGCAAATACTTGTTTGCTAAATTGTAGACACACCAATCAGGTGTATACGCACTATAAAAAGCAGCAGGTGAGTTCATCGGTCTTCAAGCACAATGGAAAGAGTCAGAGAAATAGTAAGATGAGGTGGAGGAGAAGGAGGAGGACAAGGAGGAGGACGACAAGGAGGAGGACGACAAGGAGGAGGAGAAGGACAAGGAGGAAGAGGAGGAAGGGGAGGAATCAAAGGAAGAGGAAGAGATGGAGGCCATGCTGGAGGTCGAGGAAGAGGAAGAGGAAGACAAGAACGTGCTCAAAGAGGACCGAATCTGACAAATGAGCTCCACGCAACACTGGTTGACCACGTTGTCAACCACGGCCTGACACTGAGGGAGGCTGGACTGCGAGTACAGCCAAATCTAAGCCGATACACAGTGGCAAGTGTGATAAGAACATTTCGACTGGAAAATAGGTATTGTAAAAATATCATCATATCAAAAACATCTGCGTGGTTTCAGCAACTGCTTACAGTACTGTATTCTATGCACTATCATCACTTCTGTTACCTTTTCCTGTGAAATTACTGTACTATTGTTTACTGTTTTTTTTCTACATAGGATTGAGGGTCAGGAACGACGAGGGGGAAGGCCTCCTATGTTTACAGAACAGCAAGAGAGGGAGATAGTAAACATGGTTTTGGCCAACAATGCTATAACCCTCAATCAGCTCCAAGCTAACATTGTCAATAACCACGTCGGTTTCAACAATATCCATCAGGTCTCATTCTCAACATCAACACTGGCACGCATCCTAATAAAAAAACATATTCAAATGAAGAAAATTTATCGAGTGCCTTTCGAGCGCAATTCCGCAAGGGTGAAACGACTGCGGCATGATTGTGCAGAGGTATGTATTCACCTAAGCATTGTGATCTTGCATACTGTCTCATAATCTTTTACTGTACTGTCATATGTATACTATATCTACACTGAACACAATTTTGCCTGACACTGTTCTTCAGAGAGTTTTACAAATGGATGGAGAGGAGATCCAGCATGAGTTCATTTACGTAGATGAGGCTGGGTTCAACCTGACGAGAACACGAAGGAGGGGAAGAAACATCATTGGCCACAATGTCAATGTCCCAGGGCAACGTGGGGGTAATATAACACTCTGTGCAGCCATTACACAGAATGGGGTCCTCCACCGCCATGCCCATATGGGCCCTTACAACACAGCACTCATACTTACATTCTTGGACCAATTGCACAACATAACAGCATCAAATCGATCATATGCAATACATTGTTGTCTGGGACAATGTGTCTTTCCACCGCTCTGCTCTGGTTCAGAACTGGTTTCAGCAACATCCACATTTCACCGTCCTATATCTTCCACCATTTCTCAACCCTATAGAAGAGTTTTTCTCGGCATGGCGGTGGAAGGTATATGATCTCCGTCTCCAGGCTGAGGTACCCCTCATCCAGGCCATGGAGGAGGCCTGTGACCAGATGGAGGTAGCAGCAATTCAAGGATGGATTCGTCATTCAAGACGTTTCTTTCCAAGGTGTCTCGCTAAAGACAACATTGCCTGCGATGTTGATGAAATTCTCTGGCCAGATCCAGCTAGGCGAAGAGACAATTTCTAGTTTTTGTTTTGTTTTTTACAGTAAAATTACAGTACAATACGTGAAGGGACATTTTGTTACAGTATCATGAATCTCCATGTCAAAATTTTGGGCGTGTTGAGAAATAAATGAGTTTCTTCAGTCTGCAACATTGGTCTTGTGTAGTGTTTGGTGAATTTACATTATATTTGTACTTTGTTGATGGTAGCCAACTCTAATCATAGGGAAGAAGTGCTAAAAGTGTTTTAGGTTTATCATAGCAGAGTGTAACTCGTGCAAACAGAGTATAGTAATGTGAAACGTGTGTGTTTCATATGGTAACAAAGTGTGGTTTTTAAACAGAAGTGTATAGTTTTTACAAGAGTGTTTAATTATGCAAAGGATCTGTAGTGTTTTGCTAATTGGGTGTGTGGTTGTGCTAATTGTGTGTAGTGTTTTGAAAACACAGGCCCTGTTTTGAAAATCGTGCTTAAGCAATCCAAAAAAACTGTAATCTCAGAATCGTGCTAATGGGATGCGTAAACGGTCGTAAGGTAAGAAGCTCGGCAGGGTTAACTGATCCAAGCTCGGTCCGAATTCGGCACGGATTAGTTTCAGAGAGGTAGTGCAAATGGGGATTTGGTTATCTGAGAACCGAGCCCTACTGCTGAACTAGTAGGCCTACCAGTTTAGCGTGGTTCGGTAGTTTCTGGCACGGTCCGATTCAGTTTTGCGTGAAATTGACACAGTTCTCTTGGATATCATGCTTGGAATGTTTTCAGAAGGGTTTCAAAAAGCTAGTGTAAATGGGGCTAAGTTTTTTATTGGAGTTGCTGCTTTCATAACATTTATGTTAAAAGGAATATTAGTTTGGAAAACTGTTTCTCTTCCTTAAATTGTTATTCCACAATTCTTGTTTAAATTCTTTTATTAAAGGCTCTAAAATACAAGAAGTTTTAGATAACTTTCTGATAACATTACAACCTTGTGGTCTGTCTTTATGCATTACTCTAAATATAAGATGTTATGAGGACTTACTCAGTGTTCGAGTTGCCTTTTTAGCAAATACTTTTTTCCTATTTAAGTTTTTCTACAGCTACTTTTATGGCTATACAAATAAACTTGCCTTGTCTTACCTCTATCAAAGTCTTTTAATAATCAAAACAGTCTCACTGATAAAATTGTAGGAAAATTATTGCCAGGGATGCATCAGATACTTTAAAAGGACAAGTTTTAAGTGCAGTTTCCTCCCATCTTGAAATAGTTACTAGGAGGAAATTAAAAATATATATTGTACCTAGCGGGGAAAAAGAAAACTAATAATACTTCTACAAGATCTCGTTAGAGTCCTTTGGCACAACCCTAGAAAATATTTGATGCTATATTAAACCGTTGGACCCCAAGGCTAAAGCAAAATGGTTTGTCCCTTCATTGAGAACTGGGTCTGCTTTGGTGTCTTCTCAAACATTATTTGTCCAAGATTTCCCCGTGGAAGCCATCCTGGCAACACATCAAATGACTAATTTTGCTTCAGAGACGTAAAGACTTTTTCCTTGAGCCCACCTAGATAAGCATCTACCCCAGGAGAGAAACTTGTTTTAGCTTCTTGTAGCTTGAATCTCGTTCGATCACAACTTTGTGTCTCATTCTAGCACTTGGTGTTTGGACTAATTGGATGAAACCAAACATGAAACCTGAACAATTCAAATTACTTTATTTATATTGAGCCAATTCACAACATGTGTCAACTCAAGGCATTTAGACATAGACAAACTTGATTGTCATTTTGTATACATAGTGTATACAAAACAAAAACAAAAAATTATATGCATAAACTTTCAACAGTGAATGAGCAGCTTACAGGAGTGTAATGAACATTAACTTTTGTAAAGTGAAGGAGTGATCAGAATGTAAACAGTGTAGGAGAAAAGGAAAACCGGATTAAAGTCATTGTGCAAAAGGAACTAATATGGAAAGGTTCAGTGCAGTGAAAAATAAATAAATATGATGCAAGATGCAGTAGTTGTGTTCTATTTAAAGGGATTATTTAAAAAAATTAGCCACGCTGCTAGTGCATATGTGGCAAGTGTGATGCAGAGTCTAGTTTAGAGTTTCAACAGTTCAACAGTCTGATGGCTGAGGGGAAAAAGCTGTTGCAGAATCTGCTGGTCCTGCTACAAATGGTACGAAGCCTCTTCCCAGAGGGCAGCAGCGAGAACAATCCATGGTGGGGGTGTGAGGGGTCACTGATGATGTTATGGGCTCGGGACATGCAGCGTCGATAGAAATGTCTTTTATGGAGGGAAGTGGAGCCCCGATGACTTTCTCTGCTGTCCTCACCATTTTTATCACGTTCTTTACAGAAACAATTAAACCACCACTTTGAGCCACCTGTCAAGCAA